GCTACGAAAATTCAATTGAAGCTTACATTTTAAAAATTCTCTCGACAGAAAACACTTCTGAACTGTCAAACCTAATTTTTTTCTTCACACATTTCCTTCGATTGTTCGACAGATTGGCATTGGTTATGGATATGGATCCGGGCGAAGGTACTTCAGATGGTCGTGTGCAACGCAAGTCAGACAGCGTTGAGGTTGAAATAAAGCAAGAGCCAGACATTAAAGATGAACCGTCGAATGGCATTGAATTTGATTTGATGACACGTACAAATGGACGGTTTGAAGCAGATGCAGCGACAGCGACATCGAACATCGAATCGAAACGCGAGTCAGAGAGTGACTTTATCATCGACTTTGATTTGAATGATGTGAAAGAGGAAGTGAAGTGTGAAGAAGAGAAGCCAGAAAAAGGAAAAGAAAATGCTTCGTCAATGGGCTGGAGCTCAGATAACAGTGAACCAAACTCTGCTCTTGACGGTCAAGACGATGGTTCAGGAGACAGATCAAAGGCCATTTGCAAGAGACTGAATGCGAACGGCAAAGGAAAGAAACGCGATGGATCGAGAAAGCAGAACAGACGAAAGATTCCGAGGAATAAGGCGGCGAAGAAACGAAAGGAGCACAGGTGTCATTTGTGTGATTATGTTACATCGCATAAAGGTAATCTCAATGCACACATTCGTATTCACACAGGCGACAGGCCATACAAATGCAATCAATGTTCGAAAAGCTTCACATTCAAATGTAATTTGAATCAGCACAAGCAAATCCACAGTGGAAGCAAACCATTTGAATGTTCCGTTTGTTTCAAGACATTTACACACAAAATTACTTTGAATCGACACATGCGAACTCACGCCGATGATCTGCCTCATTCTTGTTCGAAATGTGGTCATCGATTTTCCGGAGAAGAGGCCAAACAATTACACGAGAAGAGCTGCAAGCGACGTCGATACGAATGCTATCTCTGCGAATTGAAATGTTTTGTCAGAGGCAGTCTCAAACGTCATATGCAAGCAAAACACACCGGTGAACGTCGATTTCAATGCAAAGTCTGTAGAAAACGATTCGTTGAGAAGTGTAAACTCAATCAACATTTGGCACAGCATCGCGATCAGTTTCCATTTGGATGCATCAAGTGTGGTCGAGGATTTTCAACAGAAGGCGATAAAACAGCGCATGAGAAGGCTTGCGGTCATCGTCAATATCAGTGTTACGTGTGCAAGGTGTTTAAGCTGCAAAATCACTATTTACGCAATCACATGCGAGTCCATCATACAGGTGAAAAGCTCTTCCGTTGCAAGTGGTGTAGTGTACGTTTTGCAAACCAAAGCAACCGCAACAAACATATAAAGACATGTCATCTTTTAAGGAAATAAGAAAGTTTCATCATCTGCTGCGGTCATCATTCGATTCAACGCTACA